CATTGCTTTACACTTGCTGTGATCTCCCTCCTCAGTGTCCAGAAGCTGCTGCTGCCAGGGCTAAGAATTGGGTGGCATTGGTGACTCAGGACTGTTTTAAAATCTCTTCAGTACCTCTTTCAGCAATAAGAAGTTAAAACCAGGCACTATGAGATCTCACCTGATTTTCGGTTGCTATGAAGATGTATTTTCTGTGTATATAGTTGTTAACTCAGTGTCCTTGCTGGGAAGGCAGGGGGATGATTGGTTTCTGTTTGGCCATCTTGCTCCACCCTCTCCGTGATACTTAGAGATGGTTTAGATGTTTGGTTTGAGAGGCTTGTGAGACATTCAAGTGGAATATTGGTCCTGAAGCTATGATGAGAGCTCTAGGCTAAAGATACAACTGATAACATATAGGTAGTATTTAACACCACAGAAATGGACGAGATCACATGAGATGAGAGTATACACAAAAAAGGCAGCAGAATTATTCAACTCTGAGAAATCTTGAATATTTGAAGGACGATTAGGAGAAGAGGAGCCAGTAAATAGACTCCAAAAAAAAATTGCTAGAGAAGTAAGAGGAAACTAGGATACAGTGGTGTCATATAAGTTATAAGAATAGAATTCCAAGCATAGTTTCAAAAAAAGAGGGTATGGGCAATCATATTTAATGCTGTTGAGAAGTCAAATAACTGAATGCCAGAAAAGTGTCTCATATGGTTTGGTTCTGTGTCATAGAGCCACCTAAACCTCTTCTTGAATTGTAATCCCCATATCCTCATGTGTTGAGGGAGGGACCTGATGGGAGGTGATCAGATCATGGGGGCAGTTTTCCCCATTTCCCCATGCTGTTCTTGTGATAGTGATTTCTCATGAGGTCTGATAGTTTAAAAGTGTGGCACTTCCTCTCTCTCTCTCTCTCTCTCTCTCTCTCTCTCTCTCTCTCTCTTCCTGCTACAGCTTTGTAAAAATGATACTTGCTTCTCCTTCACCTTCTGCCATGATTGTAAGTTTCCTGAGGCTTCCTGAGCCATGTGGAACTGTGAGTCAATTAAACCTCTTTTCTTTATAAATTACTCAGCCTTAGGGAGTTTTTCATAGCAGTGTGAAAACAGACTAACATAGTGTCCTTTGAATTTAGCATCATGCATGTGATTGGGAAGCTTCACAAGACATATTTCAGAGGAGTGTTGATGGCAGAAATTAATTTGGTGTGGACTAAAGGGAAAATGAGGGCTTCCACTTTTAGCAAATCAGTAACTAGATATTACACAGGCCCCAACTGCTACAAAACAAATGATTCTCAGTAAAACATTCTTTGAATGTTTGGTTGATATTTCAGAAAATAAAGGACATTTGCAAGCCACTCCTTCTGTTTCTCCAAAACAGGGAGATCTGGGTAGTAAGCAAGTAAGATTTGGAAAGTATGCTTTGAGTAAGCCATAAGGTAGGAAAACTCAAGCCAAAACTCTTACACTAAGCCAAAGTAGTCCTAGGTTGGGGGGGTTCTTTATTTCTCCAGCAGAAACATATTTAAATGCTCTCATTGGGCGATGCATACTCTATTTAGACTCCTAGATTTACTTAGACTATGACCAAGCACATGTCAATGCACAAAAAGAAATTACAAAACATGTAAAGAAACAAACTGTCATGAGTGAAATTCAACAGAATAGGTTTAGATTACCAAATACTTCAGGTTTTGAAATGATTAATAGGCTATAAAATAACAATGATAAAAATGAAAATAAAATCACAAAAAGCATACCATATGAGATCATTGAAAAGTAAACAGGCAGATTGAGGAGAAAAAAAGCCAAATGAAACTTTCTAAAAAAATCACTGAAATGTAAAACGCAATTGATGATTTAAACACCAGATCAGACAGAATTATCAAGACTATACCAACACTACTTAGGGTTATAGGCAATGTTGATGCCATAAGAAGACACCCCAAGCAGTGTTCATAAAAGGAAGGTGTGTTCCTCTCCTATATTAACAGGACAAGCTAGGCAGGTGGGCTCTGTTTTGCCATTCATCTTTGGGTCTATAGCAATTGTCCCACTCATTTTCAGCCATATGATTTAAGGTAGCAGCACACTAGCAGCAAGTTAACTCTAGCACATTAAAATGGAAAAGCAGAGCATTAAGGGCAAATTATTTCAGATTTCTAGGAATGAATAATAAGTTGTACATTTCACTTCTGCTTATAAAATAGTGAAAATGTAGCATCATGGCCATGTGTAACTGTAGGAGAAATTGGAAAATGTACTCTCTATCTGAGTGGCCGTTTTCAGCTAAAACCTGTTAGTAAGCTTAAATGAAGATGGGAAAATTGATCTTGGGCTATAACAGCAGTTTCTAAAGCAAAATAGAATAATACGGAGATAGAAACTGGGACAGAGAATTACATGAGTAGGGTGAGAAGATCTAATACAGGCCTGATCAAAGTGACAACAATGATTAGAAAAAGTAGAGCAAAGAATATATTGGGGGAAATTGACTGGAAATTTTTCAGAATGAAGAAAAACACATAATCACACATAAATGAAACACAACATCAAACATGCAAGAAAAACAGAAATTTACAATTAGATATTCTGAAGTGACTATAGGTACTGAAACAGGGACCACCTTAAAATAAACCAGAATGAAATCACTTACAAAAGAACCACAAGTAGACAAACAATGGAAACCAGAAAAGTGTGAATATCTTTAACATGTTAACCTGAAATCAAGAACACAGCAAAACTACTACCTTCCAGCAACATCAACGAAGAACAATCTTTGCAAATAAAAATTGAGTACGTTTACCACCAAGAGACCTTCTCCAAGGGAATTTGAGGTACAATCACGGGAAACAAAATTGTTAAACTAAAACACTGGATAATCCCTTGAAAGTCTGGAGATAAGGGGTCAGGGTTAAACCTCCTTCTTTATGATACTGTGGAAATTTCCTAAGTTTAAGATACTAATTTTAGGTATTTTTAAGTTAAATATAAGTTTTGAGAGTAAAAGCATGGGTATAGAATATAACATCCTAACTGGTAGAGGAGAAAATATTATGAAATGAGAAGGCAAACAAATATTTAGGCAATCAAACACCTGAGAGAGAAATGAAACAGAGAAATCAAAAGAAGTGGAAAGCACAAAATAGAATAGCAGACCTAAGTCCAATCATATAGTGTTAATATATGACAATGACAATAGACAAAAATAGACTTTAAAGCAGAAAGGCAGTCACTACAAATAAAAGAGTCAATTCATTTGGATGACATAACAATTCTGTATTTGTTTGCATATCACAAAATTGCTCATAATACATAAAACGAAAATTAATAAAATTTCCTGGAACAATGTTACAGTGGGAGATTTCAATAGTGCGCCCTCATTTGACAGGACAAAGGGGGAAAAAACACAAAATAAATATTTTTATATTCTGTAGTTAGCTATCAAATATTTTCCCATTTATATAGTCTTCCTCTAACTTTTTCCTACCCTAGTGCATGCATTGATTCCTTAATATTACAAGTCCTTAATATTTACAAGTCCTTAATATTATTCAAAATAAGAGAAAGTATATAAAGTTCTAATGCTGGTTTCATTTATTCAAACACTAGGGGTATCTACCATATGCCGGACACTGTGCTAGGTTCCTGGAAACAAAATAAATAACAGATAAGGCTTCTACTTTAATGTTGCTTTTGTTAATATCCTTGGGTATTTTACTTAATTTTTTTAGCTTATATTCCTAAGAATACAGTCTTGGTGTGAAGATTAAATAAGATTATATATGTAAAGAACATATGAAGACTAAAATAAGGCAATAAAAAGTAGTCAGTATAAAATGGATTTTAAAATGTTATTTAAGTCCACTATCTATCTTTATAACTTTATTGTAAATCAGTGTGAGATACAGATGAAAATATAAGGAAGTAAATTCACAAACTGTTATTTTCTTTATTTTTTTATTTTTATTTTTATTTTTATTTTTGAGACGGAGTTTCGCTCTTGTTACCCAGGCTGGAGTGCAACGGCGCGATCTCGGCTCACCGCAACCTCCGCCTCCTGAGTTCAGGCAATTCTCCTGCCTCAGCCTCCTAAGTAGCTGGGATTACAGGCACGTGCCACCATGCCCTGCTCATTTTTTTGTATTTTTAGTAGAGACGGGGTTTCACCATGTTGACCAGGTTGGTCTCGATCTCTCGATCTTGTGATCCACCAGCCTCAGCCTCCCAAAGTGCTGGCATTACAGGCTTGAGCCACCGCGCCCGGCCCAAACTGTTATTTTCTAAAGCTAAAGCTAATATTAGGACTTGAAAAGGTAGAACTCTTCACTGGGATGTTTATTTAAAAAAGAATTTCATGTAACTGAATGGAGGAATTGTCTTTATTCTTGTGTTAATGACAATGGCCTTCACGGATTAGAACTAGAAAAGTAAATCAGACCACAGGGAAAAAGAATTTGCTGGTTTTCACTCAAGAGTATCTAGAAAAGTATACTTACTACCGGAATAACAGTTTACCCCTGGGTTGTATCACAGAATGAGGAATCCTACAAGATTATAACTCTTTTTCTACAAGATTATACAACTCTTTTTGCTCTTATTCCATTCCGGAATTAGAAATTAACTTTCTAAATACTTTTTTTTTTTTTTTCTAAAAAATTTGTTAGCTAACCTGGAAATGGACAAAAATATTTTGATTGCTGGAAAGTTATATCTCCCTAGTAAAAATGAACAGATTGCCTTAAGTTTGGTTACTGGAAATCACTGTCAGCTGTGGAACACCCAGACAAACTAACAAAACTAGGTTCCTACATGCAAAACAAATATCCTAAACTGTTTCCATAAGGCAGCCACCAATGGAAAAATAAAGAAAATTTTACTATTTTAGTCTAAATACTTCATTTAACATATAAGGCAACTGTGGTGCTAAGGTTGTGATTTATTAACCTAGTTAAGGGTAGAAGTGGCACTAAAACCTGGATCTTCTAAAGTTTGATTCTTTTACCGTCAAGCATTAATATCCAGAGGCATATATTTGTATTTACTATGGTTTAAACATTTGTCTGTGAGTCAGTGCTTTAAATGGACATACTATGTGGTGATTCATTTTCAGAGTAAGAATTTGCTCTGAAACGGGAAACAAACTTTCTGAATAATACAATTTTAATGCATATTGAGGCTGGTTAACTGGTTAGAATACTAGGTTAACAAGGCGAAATCCAGATTGGCCAATAGCTTTTCAAACCAACATTCCTGACACTACCACATTATTGGATGGCTAACGAAAACTCTTCTTCAGTACTGAGGGAGGGAAAGAAAACCTAGAAAAATAAACCATACTGAAAGAAAAAGGTTTTTGTCACCTTAAAGCTTCTTTTCCTTTGAATGGTACACATAATTTCAACATTCTTAGAAACGGGCCTTCTATTAAAAAGCAAACTATTGCTAATTCTATGGCTTTAAGTGGAATACTTCCAATCACTTCTATCCAGAAAATCTATGACACTACATGCCAGTTAGTTTGCATTTATAATTGTTTAATAAACTATTCAAAATTATCATCTAAAATAATTATAGTTTGGACACACGAAGGCATATATTTGGTGAGAACATTGTAATTTTCATTTTGTAAACTATATATTCAAGCAATAACGGAGCATTGCCTATACAGAACTGAGATCTGGGCTGAAACCCAAAATTTGTCTTTTCCTAAATGCACCACTCCGAAGAGCTAATAAGAGGTCTGTCCAGATGCTAAGACCAGGTACTTCGAAATCTCCATCCTGCGCTTTACAGGTCTCCAGGGAAGTTAGAACTTCGTCTTTCAGAGGTGGAGGAGCCTGACAGAGGCTTTGAAATCTATCGTGCAACTCTTCCCAGGGCACATCTTGGGACCCAGTTCCAACCCAAATGCCTTTCTGAAGGTCATAGTGCAAACGCTGACCCCAGTCTGTTAGCAGACTCAGGTAGACAGGAGACAGTGCTGGGTGACGGCTAGTCACTAAAGTCAAAAGTCCGGCTGGGAGGGCGCGACAAAAGGCAGCAAAGACTTCCGAATTCCCCAGCAGCCAGTGGACTAGCGCTTGACTCCCCTCTCCCTGAGTTCTGTGGATGCCGGGTTCCAATTCTTCCTGGGGCCGGGGAGACAAAGGCGGCTGCAACAGCGCCACCGCTATCACCTTCAGGAAGTTGTTCTCAGGCAAGCGCTCCCGCAGGCTGCTGAGAAACCTGGTGGGACCCTCCGCTTCGGCCTTCCCCACCTCCTGCAGACGCTCCAGCAGCAGCTCCGCCTGGGTCTTCATCAGAGAGTCCTCATGGAGATTCGGGTTCTCTCTACAGCCGTTCAAACGCAACAAGTGCACCGCGGACCGGCGGCGGGCGAGGCCGGCCAGGCTCTCTTGGAGAGTCTCCTCCTCGGCGTCCGGGACGCCCGGGCCCGGAAAGAGCTGTTGCAGCAGCTGGCGCCGAGCGGCATCCCCGAGGGCTCGGTTCTCCAGCAGGCGCAGAGAGAGCAGAACATCGCAGCGGCCGAGGGCCTGGAAGTTCGCCAGTCCCGGAACTGCACCCCGCCCAAAGCCGCCCTCTTGCCGCCACTGGCTGTGCAGCCGCCGCTCCAGAGCCGTGCGAATGCGGCCATGCCCACCGAAGCGCCGGTGGATGTGGCGCAGGTAGCGTGCCCACTGCAGGGCCCGGCGCACAGTGGCTGGGTCCCAGGTGCTGACGTGGGTAGTGCGGGAGACCGCCAGAAGCTCGGAAAAGCGATCCAGGTGCTGCAGTAGGGATTCCATGAGCTGCGGAAAAGGCCCTACTTCCGCTTTCAACTAGGAGACGGAGACTCTCTGCGTACTGATTGGGACATCCGTGAAATGATACGCCTTTCTGCAATGCTATTGGTCGAAATGCATGTCAATCTCACAGCGGCTTTTTCCGGATTGGGCAACTTAAAAGCCCGGAGACTTTCACTTTCGTTACACAAAGAGGTTCTTAGTGAAGGGAGCAGACGTAGGATATCCTAGCGAGAATTCCCGGAACCATATGCGAGGGGATGCCAGTCATGAACGTCTCCGTGCTTTCTTTCGCTTTGGAAATATCCTTAAGTAGAAATTTTCTAACTTTGCCAAAAAGTAGAATCTGTGTCGAGGTTTTTCAAAAGTAACGTCAGAGACATGCTGTGATGTGAGGAAACGCTCTTAAATGATTTAAGATCAATTTGAGAAAAATGTACTAAAAATGTACTGACATCCTATTAATGCCAGGCACTATGCTGACCTCTGGGCTTTCACATTGTCCTTCCGTTATTAGAACGGAAGCATCGATTATTTGAAACAAAAAATAACTTCAACATCAATAATTTATTAAAACTTACAAAGGAACAAAATTTTACTTCACAATTGTACGTTTTGTTTTTGTAATTTTTAGGACAAAATAGCTTGACTCTTCTTTCACACAGTCAGTTGAAGGAAAGGGCATTTAAGAGCATCGAACAATAATAAATATTTGATTAAATAAAAACTATGAGAAGAGAGTAGGGAAGAGAAGGCCCTATGTCACTCATTGATGCATTTAACAAATATTTGTCAACTCCTAGGAGTTATATTGTGTACAAAATGCACAACAATTCTTACTAAAGTTGGTAATACAGTAACTCATTTGAGTTGAATTTCTTTCCAGTCCTAAAGACACAGCCAAAAGTATTCAAAAAAGTGAGGGAACAGTGTTTTGTGCTTTAACCAAAAGGGGAAGAGAAACAAATTTAATCTCCCATCTCTTGGTTATGATCCCCAAATTCCTGGCATACAGTAAATTGGGAAAGAAAAAGGCCAAATTTCAGCAGATTTTATTTTTATTATTTTATTTTTATTTTTTCTCTTATTTGGTGAAGTGTCCAAATAGTACAATATCCTTCATGAGCACTAGGGCTACCTGACTCTTGGAGCAGAGCCACAAACTTTCTCTCCTGAGCCCTACACTGCACCTGTGCCTTTGCTGAAAGAAGCTTCCCACAGTCAGTTGTGGGACTCAAGGTCTTCAGTCTGGATTCTTTGATCTCCCAGGAGGCTCCCTTGATGTGGTATAGTCCTACTTTCCCTAGGTGTAGAGATTCCCGAGGGCCAAACTACTGTGAATCCTGCTGTGCTCTTCTGGTTCTAGCCACCCAGTGGGGCTGCCATTCTCCAGGATGGTGCTAGGGAATGTCTGGAAAGGATCCATGATAGGACCTGTCCTCTAATCTCCCAGTAGTGGGTACCAGCAGAAGCCCTGATGGGGGTGGCAGAGGAGTGATGTAGATTCTGTGAGATTTCCTTGGTTATAAACAGCCTCAATGTGTAGGGATTCTCAAATGCCAGCTGTAGTAGCAATATACTGGTCACATGGATAGACTCAAGACCTCCTGGTTAGCCAGAGTGATGGAGGCAGTGGTGCTAACTGAGGTCATCCAGAAATTTTCTTCCTCAGGGGAGCTGTGTTTTTGTGCCAGCAGATGCTGTAATGGACTGTGTCAGTTATCCTCCAGCGAGGAGGTAGTGCTTGGAAGAGTGTCAGCTGCAGTGATAGTGATGGGATTTGTGCTTCTCTTATGTTACCCAAGGTAGGTACTCTGGTGTCTCAGGCAAAGGCCAGGGTCACGGAACTTCCCAAAGTCCCTGCCCTTTGTGTTAAGATACTAGGGTAAATGGAGGTACAAAGCCAGGTGGTGGCTGGGTCAAGTCCCATGCTCTGGTTTCCCACATGCCAGCCCAAGCAGCAGCTTCAGTGGAGATCAAAGGGCAGTTCTGTGGCCTCTGAGGGAATGTTCACGGGTGGAGCACAGCTGCCTTTGTCCTGCAGAAGAATCCACTTGTCAAGGCACTTCTCACTTGCAAGTGTTCCAACTGCAGCAGCTAGCTGAGTTCCAGATAGTCTGTTCGCAGCACTCAAAACTGCCCCAGGCCATAAGCCTTCCCCACCAATATGGGAACTGCGGCCTTCAGACCACACCCCTCCCTATCTACCTGCAAAGCTGGAGGTGCCAAGGTCCTGTACCTATGGCGATAGCACTTCCCACTTGTCTCGGTTCTCGCCAAAGTAGTTCATCCCTGTTCAAGCTTATACTGTGAATCTCCACTGAGAGCTCCTTTCAACCTGTGACTGCTGCCTGAGTTCGCTGGCTGACTTCTGTGAGATCCTCTGTGAGCTAGGATTTGGGATGGCTTTCTTCTTTCCCCGCCAGAGTCTGGGAGTGTATGCAAAGCATGTCCTACTGCTGCTCTTTCTCATATACTCCTCACCACTCACTAAATCAGCTCCAGTGGCAGATAGGGTTAAGGCCTTTCTCTGTGGCCTGGATTGCCAGGTTTCCCAATGAGAGTATATATCATGGAGGCAGTCTCTCCCCACTCATACTCTGAGGACTCACAGTTTTCCACCTGGCCTATGGATATATGATGGAGGCAGTCTCTTCCAACTCACCCTCTGGGGACTCAGTTTTCCCCCTGGCTTAGGGTGTAGGCTGCTGCCCACGGCTTTTTTTTTTTTTTTTTTTTTTTTGTCTATGGTTTTGTTTTGTTTTTGTTTTGTTTTTTCAGTTTTCCTGTTAAACTCCTGTGTTGCTTCTTGGAGAAAAGTTCACAGCATGAATCTCTACATAGTATTTTGTCTTTCGAAGTGGGAAAGACATGCTAACAATGCCTCGAATCCACCATTCTGGAAAAACAGAAGGTTGTATTAAATTAAGATATTGTTCAAAACATGGGATTTAGGAAACAAACAACTAAGCATCAGGAAAAGATGCTTTCACAAACAACCTATCTCATGGGCCCTGGTAAGGATTAAATGGGGTAACAAAATTTAAATTTTGAAGCCCAAAGATGCCACAGATATCTCCTTCCCAAAACCAAGAAAATCTCAGCATCACAAAGAAAAACTGGATTAAGACAGACCTCGAAGAAAACGTGTTTGGAATTATATAACCTTATACATATTACCAACCTTTGCTGTCTTGTTGTTGTTGTTTTGCCAGTTTCAGTGTTACTTTCTTTTGCTTTCAACTAGATGACCCAACTAATATAAGCCCTTTGGAATACTGTGTGGTACAAATACTCAGTGAACATCACTGGCTATTATTGTTGTTGTTATTAATATTATATAAGCTTCCAAAGTATACATCTTCCCATGTCTTCTTCCTATTCCACCACTTCCAAATATAAAAGGGCAACCACTAACATCTTCATGAGCTACGGTGGAGGAAATGTTATCAAAGACACAACTTGCTGCTGCAGCATATACTTTTGGTCCTGAGAGGTTTCTAATAAAATCTTGTCCAATGGTGTATTAAGACTTGAAAACTTGAGTTGATTTCATTCTCTATGTTAAATCTTACTATTCTTATTATTGTTATTATTATTATTATTATTTGAGACAAAGTCTTACTCTGCTGCCCTGGCTAGAGTGCAGTGGCACTATCTCGGCTCATTGCAGCCTCCACCTTCCAGGTTCCAGTGATTCTCCTGCCTCAGCCTCTTAAGAAGCTGCGATTACAGGCACCTGCCACCATAGCCAGCTAATTTTTGTATTTTTAGTGGAGACGAGGTTTTACCATATTCGCCAGGCTGGTCTCGAACTCCTGACCTCAAATGATCCTCCCAACTCGCCTCTCAAAGTGCTGGGATTACAGGCATGAGCCACCACACCCTGTTATTATTATAAGATATGCAAGAAATTATAGGGCATTATGCAACTGATGGACCAATGAAAACAAGTTATTCTGATTTGTTCTTTACTCTGAACAATGTTATATTCAAGGACATGCACACTCATTATAGCCCTCTACTTGATGAAACCGTAGTTCTCTATATGAATAAGTAGAATTAGACTCCACATCTTCAGACAAGGCAGTCATAAAGGGCTTTTTTGTCATTCAGAAATCTGCTTTTTGGGAAATGTTTTGACCTATTGGCAATCACTCTGAGGGCAAATATTATGGGTAGTGATTATACCAATCCCAACTTGACTACCTCAGTCAAGTCAGGGATAAGGGTAGGCCTTTCTATATGCTTTGGTAGCAACTATATAGAGCAAGCTGGAACAATGTTTTTACAGAGATTTCTTACAGAAACTCTTCCCCTATGTTTGCCATGTTTGTGGTATTGCAATCTACCTTCTGGAAAAAAAGGATTGATATTGCTATAGTTTCAATGTCCTCTTCAAAACTCATGTGAAATTTAATTGCCAATATAATAGTATTGGAAGGTAAGGCTGTTAACAGGTGATTAAGTCATGAGGGCTTTGTACTCATATGATATAGTTAGCATAGGAGTAGATTTCAGAAAAAAATAAGTATAGATCTATTTCCTCTCTCTTTTTCCCTGCTTCACCATGTGTTGCCTTATGCCATGTTTTGAAGCAGCAAGAAGTCCCTCACTTTGGACTTCCCAGACTCCAGGACCAAATCTCCTTTCTTTCTAAATTACTAATTTATGGTATTCTGTTATAGCAGCGGAAAACGGACTGACAAATAGATCTTAGTGGTATTTACTTGTAAAATCACAATTTCTTCATTTCATTGGTTTCCCTTAAAAAAGAGGAAAATCGTCAAATGAATTGTAATGGATAGAAGACTTTATGCATGTAAAATCTGACGATTCGGTTTTCAGTCTTGCATCCTATGATATTATAACTATCCCCTGATATTTATTCCCATACTACATATTTTAAAATATTAAATTTATATTTTCATGGGGAAAACACACTAGGTTTACCTTTTCTACCATTAGAATTATTTTCAGTAGGCCATAATAGACTGTAACTAGACAAAACTTGTTGTGGGTCCTCAGCATTCTTCTCA